CGCGGGAGAATCGCCATCGTCATCGCCGCGGTTGCCGTTTTCGCAGCAGCAGAGGCCATCATCATCATCCTCATCATCCTCATCATCATCATCCCCGCCGTCTTCGTCACATGCAATACCCCTGCCGTCATAACAATCACCAGTGGTGGCCGTCATGGCTGCAGAGGTATTATCGTAGTTTGAAAAACCAAACGCGTCACTTGTAAAACGCACGCGCCCCCTAGCGCAAAAACCGCCGACGCGGCTGGGCTGGCACGGTGGCGGGAGCAGCCGCAGGCAATCATATCATCTGGGTCCAGGAGACACTCGAATTTGCTGCGGGTGTCGTCATCCGCGGGCCATGGGTCGCCCAAAAGTGGGTACAACAAACGCCTGTCGATGATGTCCACGGAAACCGTGAGCAAGGCCAGCTCTGGAAAAGTCTTGGGGTCATCAAAATACACGCCCACCCGTGACAGCCGCGACGCATTCACCTCAGCGACGTGCGATTGACATGCCTCGCCGTCGGCGGATTGCGGCATCTCGCTGGCGGCGCCAGGTTTTCTGATCGAACACGGGAACGCCTTCACGCCGATATTGTACACGATTCGCCTCAGCAGCAACTGTTTCACATTGACCAAGGTGTGCGTCCATCTGCTTTCTGCTGGAATAGGGTCCCCGCCGCCATACAGCGCATTCGTGACCGAACGAACTGTTCTGTCGTAGCAAGTGCCGGCGTCCCTGCAACGCGGCCTGCCAGTTGACTCGTCCCAGCAATAATGCACCCAATCTCCGTGGAGATCCCCGTTGACCATTCTCATCAATTCACCCAGGTCCTGTACCCTGCGAGACACCTTGCCGTTGGCGCGCTTGTGGTGGTCCGCATCTGGGCGGAAGAGAACATTGATGCACTTGGACAGCGGGCAGGCAATGCCGTCTGGCGGCGGGCCGAGGGCCCGTCGCTTGAGCATCTTCTGCACCAGCACTTCGATCGACTCGCATATGCTGGTCCGCACACCGTCAAGGCGAAGCAAGTTGGCTAAGCTGAAGAGGCGCATTGTGTGGTGCTTGAGCGGTACAACTTGCAATTTTGTGCGATGTTCTAAGTGCACGCCACACGTCTCTGGGAACACAAGAAGCCGACCACTGCTGCGCGGAAGCACCATCGTTTCCCATTGGTGACAGAATTGTTTCATCAAGAGGATGTTCCCAGACGCCTTGTCACCAGTCAGAGACATCGTGAAGGACGAGAACGAACGCAACAACCGATCAATATTCTCCACGGCGTTGAACTGGAATGGCCGCGGGATTGTCTTCAACACAGCGGGCAGGATCGCATTGGCTGAAGTGCCGCTCACCTTCATCGGGTTGACAAGGATCTGCTCGCAGAACGATCGGCTGATCGCGCTCTCGTCGTTGATGTGGTTGGCCAAGGTCAGCCTGGCGTAACCTCGCTGGCAGATCGTCTGAATGCTCGTGGTTGTCTTCCTGCGGCGGCACCCCATCTTCGGATATGCTGCGAACTTGCAGTTGACCTCGTCCCACAAATGAGCATATGACATGTGGACGAACCGATTGCTGGCACCTGGGTGCTGCAAAGCCTTCTCACCGCCGCGGAGGACGTGTTCCACGCCATCATCCTGTCTGGCCTTGATCACGCGGGCTGCGGCGCACACCAACCGCCGAATGTCGATGCCAATGTTCAGCGTGCCCAGGCGTCTGGCAAAGACAATCCTGCTCAAGAAGGTGAAATGTGCTGGTCGGAGGTCGTCCTGTTTGATCCTGCCGACGTGTTTCACGGGCCGCCCGAACAATTGGGCGCATGCAGGGATCAACGTACAAGCCGTGTGCATGTCCCCTTTGAGCTGTTCAAAGTCTTGGCGGAGCTTCGACTCGCGGCTCTGGGCGCACAACAACATCTTCTTGGAACGAGCGTGGCTCATGACCTCGGGCGTCCTTCTCTTGAGATCGAGGCGGGCAGGGGGCGCTGGCGCTGGAAGCGCCAAAGGCGGCGGCACGGCAATGTGATCATCGCCGTCTGCATCTGGAGGGCCGCCTGCAACCAAACCCCCGATCGCCAACGGCATCGGCACATCCTCGATGTGTTGGTCCATGCTGGGTGCGACACAGAAACTGAAGCCTCAACACAGGGCAGGGGGCCTCAAGCACTGCAAGCTGGAAGCAGGATCTCCTCGGTTTGAGCCAAAACGGCAATACCATCACATCGTCACATCACCACATCAACATTGAACGTATCATCTGAGCATGGTCGTTGTCCACTGCCCATACCGAACCCCATGCCGAGACGTAGCAAACACTGTTTGAGGAAAGGTTGCAAGCACTGCATGGGGAAACGCTGCAAGCACTGCGCCGAACATAGTACAAACGACGTTTTGTAGTAGAATTGCAAGCGCTGGCTCGGACACTGCGCCAATATAGACTATGCCCACTTTGGTAGGCATCAACATGTGCCTGATTGATGACTGCTGGCGGGGGGGCATGTGAAGGAGGAGGAGGATGAGGAGGAGGGTGAGGATTCCAATAAAGAGTTTGAGACTGAGGGGGAGGAGGAGGAAGAGGAGGAGGAGGGGGGGAGGAGCAGGAGGAGCAGGAAGAGGATGAGGATACGGATGATGCAACGGAGAAGAAGGAACGGGGGGGGAAGGGGGAGGAGAAGGAGGAGACGGAAGACGGTGATGATGACGATGGTGACGATGGTGGTTATAACGATGTTAACGGCGAGTCCTTCTGAGAGCGCCACGGGGGCATTGTTTCCACCGCTGGGTTGCAGAGACACTGCGCACGCTGTAAGACGTTCCACGCCCCGCAGGACACTGCAAGCACTGAAAGGCACTAGTGAGACGTTGCAAGCACAGCCTGGACGATTCAAGCACTGTTTGAAGAGCCGCTGCAAGCACTGAGAGGGGAACACTGGCAAGCACTGTTGCCGAGGACGCTGCAGGCACTGTTTTTGGGAAAGCTGCAAGCACTGTTTGAGACACGTTGCAAGGACTGCCTGGGACATGTTGTAAGATCTGTTTGGGGAAGTGTTACACATAGGAAACGTTGGTTGAAACGGGGGCGGAGACGAACTGGGGTACTGGGTACATGAAGACGGGGGGCGGGGATGAACGAGGGAACAGGGAGGCATAATGCGAGGGAGCTAGTTTTTTGCGAGGTCGCGTAGCTCAGCGGTCAGGGCACCGACGCGGAACACAAGGGATTGCCATTTGTCAAACGAATCAAAACTCAACTGGTGCCGCCACCCTGCGCGCCGCATACGGCGGCTTCGACGCAGGCAATTTCAAGCGGGCCGCGGGAACAACACGGCTACAATGATGCAAGTGCGGCGCAATTGCGCGACGAAAACAAAGCATCGCGCCCCGCGTCGCTGCCCTGCTAAAGCGACGGGGCACAAACAAACAGGAGCGACCAAGCGTTGGGTGGGGCGCGCGCCCACGGCAAACAAACGATACTTTCCGCGCAACTAACGCGGGCCTCTGCTGAGACCCGCGGCCCCCATCGCAAAACTTGACCACGAACCACACAAACCAGTGCCGACGCCGCGAGCAGCGAGGATCGCCCGCAGACAATTCACGAACAGATTACACAACTGGCGCGTCAATTGCGATACAGCTAGCGGATGTCAGACGCAAGGGCGGGGTAGACAGTCGAAGCACCAATGCCACTGTCATGCAGGGCGGACGCAGAAGACAAGAGTCGCACCAGCGAGCGGCGCATCGACAATGATGCCCCTACCGCCGTTGGCGGCAGAGGCATCGAGCGAGGGGGCGGCGCGCGCCGACTCTCAACGAGACGCTGCCCCGAACTCAACCGACACGCTCGCGTCTCGTAGCAAGCGCGCCGCAGTTGCAAATAGAAACGGGTGGCTCGCACGCGCACAACAAATGCGAATCGCAGGCAAACGTGGATCAGATCGTGCTGCTTCTAAGACAAACATGCAAGTTGCAACGAAAAACACATGAATATTGCATGTAGTTCGCATACCAAGAAGTTGGATGGTGGAGCGAAATGACCCTGCAACTTCCTCGATTTCCTCCATTCTATAGAAACCACCGAACTCTGACCCCCACGGCTACACAACAAATAACAGGATTTCCAATATTTTCATACATTTTCTGGGTTTTGTCTTCCCCCCCACTTCCTATATTTTCCTGGAAATCGACGATTAATTGTGTCTGTGTGCTTCTTTCCATCCTGAGTCCACGGCGATCGCTGTGCCTCATTCCAAGACGTCCTCCCATGGCTCTCCGCGGCGGCGGCACGGGGGGTGCCCGGTGCGGAGGGGGAGCGACAGAGGGGGGCTTGGCTCAGGGGAAACGGCATTGGCCAGGAATCGGCGATGTGCGGCCTGACCCAGGACAGAAGAGCACCCCTCGAGAACCCGAGACTCTCCGCCGCCCAGATCACTCCGAACCGTAAAACCACTCGGGAGTTACCCTTCCCCAGGAGGCACGGGAACATCCGACAAGCACGACAAATATGAGGGCACCATCCCCGAACCGACCTCGACCACCTACACTGGAGGCCAGTCCACAAGACACCTTCCACAAAAAACCCAACCCGGAGACCCCAGGACGTCCATTGATGCTTGGTGTGGGAACGTCACGCTTTCCACATGATGGTTCTTGGCATGGGTCTCCACTGTACCTCGGCCCGACCGTTTGGCGACACCTCGGGGCACGCCTCCTTGGGAAACGAGCACGACGCTGGACGTCCGCGCTCTCCCACGGCCGCCCCGTGCCACAGGCCTCTCGGAGCGGCCACCTGAGAATGCCCCCCCGCCTCTTGTCAGTGGTGCGAGGAAGGAGGAAGGAGGAAGGAGGAAGGAACAAGGAAGGAGGAGAGAGGAAGGAGGGAAGAAGGAAGGAGGAAGGAGGAAGGAAGGAGGAAGGAAGGAAGAGAGAGGAAGGAGGGAGGAAGGAGGAGGGAGGAGGAGGAGGAGGAGGAGGAGGAGGAGAAGAAGGAGGAGGAGGAGGAGGGAGGAAGGAGGAGGAGGAGGAGGAGGAGGAGGAGGAGGAGGAGGAGGAGGGAGGAGGGAGGAGGAGATCCTCCCCTGCTGAGAACCCACCTCTGCCTTCTCGGAAGGCCGCCCCGGCGCACCGACCTCCTACTCGTCTGTGCGCCGCCCGGCACCTCACGGCCTACCTCTTGTTGAAGAGCAGCGCCTGGTTCCGCTGAACGACGTCGCAGGCTTCGCTGGGCGCTATGCGCTCGTAGTTCCCCATGGCCTGGGCTTCTCAGGGCCCGCGGTCACGACGAAAGGGTACATGACGAGGGGCGGCACCAGTCCGCACAGCGCAGGTGCTGAAAAGGAACCAGGGGAGGCACGAGGAACACCGACGTCTGCGTGTGCTCGCGTAAACTGTATTGGCACTGCGTCCCCAACCGTCCGGAGAGAACAACAACAAACACGCTCGTGCATGCGCCATGCCAGAGGACCCAGGTGCTACATAGACATAGAGACATTGAACGTGTTGGAGGTCTGCGTGGTTGTATTGGATCTGTGCTGTACCCTCCCCCCCTCTGGTGCGCAAAGCGCGCCAGGGGTGGCGCAGGAGGCGCCGCCAGGGTGCTCCAGCGCCGATCCAAGAAAACCGCGCACACCTCAGACAAATAACGCCCGTGCAAGTTTATCTTCCTCGTGTTCTGTATTTCTTGTTTCCTGAGCTGCTCGAGCGTCAGGGCGCCTCGCGAGCTCCAGAACGGATCGGACGCTGCCAGGCAAGCGGGCCAGGAGAGCTGACGGCGCAGGAAGTCCTGCGAGCGCGGAGAGATCCGCACAGAAGACCTCTCGGGCCGTGGGTGCGAACCAGCGACCGACGCTCACCGACATGAAACAAAAAACCCCCGGGCGTTGCCGACTTTCCACACTGGGGATTTTCGCCACGTGTCGGGCCCAGAGGCCATCACAAGTCGATCCAGCTCGACAAATGCTGCAGAAAGATGGGGTCTAGGGTTACGGTCGTGACCTGTTGCCGCGTTGAGGTTTCTTTCGCAATGTCGGATCTCAAGCCTCGCGCCCCCAGCAGAGCCGACGGCCAGACTGCCCTCGACACGACCTGGCCGGCTCTGAAAAGGCCCTCGATCCTGAAACGTTGGCGTTCCGCTCTTGCTTCCGTTGCCTCCCGCCGAGCCTTCGCCGTTGGAGCCTCCGCTCCCTCACTGCCGCCCCGAGATGGCGGCTGGGGGGCACGCGCTGGATGGGACCCGAGGCCGAAAGAACAAATCGCACCTGCCGGCACCCGCGCTGTCCACATGAGGCGGATCCCCCAAAAGCCTCCGCGAGGCTGCGGGCGCAGTGCCCCCGACCCAAAAACCTCGGGAGGGACGCGCGGCCCAGCTGGCCACCGGCATCGCGAGGCACGGCCAGGACGAGGGGAAGGAGGACGAGGAGGGGGAGGACGACGAGGGGAAAGAGGGCGCAGAGCACAGCCGGCCAGAGCCTGGCCCTGGACCCGACCCCAGGCCCCGACTCGACACCGACCAGTGGTTCCTCGGGCCTCGTGCCGCCGTGGCGACGAGGGTGCGCTGGAGTATCCGTGACGCGTGCTGGGTTCACTGTGGACCTCCTCCTCCTCCTCCTCCTCCTCCTCCTCCCTCCTCACTTCCTCCTCCTCCTCCTCCTCCTCCTCCTCTTCCTCCTCCTCCTCTTCTTCCTCCTCCTCCTCCTCTCCTCTCCTCCTCCTCCTCCTCCTCCTCCTTCCCCCCCCCCCCCCTCTCTGCTGGCTGGAAACAAGTGCTTGGTTGGGTGCACCCCGCGCTTCCAATACAGACGGGAAGATCGGGCAGAGGGAGGGGGCACAAGAAGGGCGAGTTTATGGGGGAACGAATAATGGCATAAACATAACAACTCGGAGGTCCGCGCGGACTTCTCGGATCGGCGCTGGGGCCCCCTGGCGGCGACTCTGGCCAAGCCCCTGGCGCGCTCCGCGCGCCAGGGAGGGGGGTCCAGCGCCGATCCGAGAAATCCGCGCGGACTTCCGAGTTGTTATGTTTATGTCAGGCTTGGTTCCCCTGGAGGAGGAGGAGGAGGAGGAGCGAGGGCCAGATGCGGTCCAGATGCGGCCCGAATGCAAAAGAAACCGATTTCCATAATATCGGTGTGGAAAGCCCCCATGACCAGACATCGAAGCGGGGCCACCTCGCCCCCCCCCAACCGGCTCCAACTTCCCTTTTTTGAGGGTGCACTCCCCCCTATACTGCGTCAATCCTGGAGGCCTCGTGCAGGACAAGCAAGACGCCTACCGCAATCGTGGCGCCATCGAAGCCTTCATCGATGTGAGAATCCGAAGAGACGCACGACTCTGCGTCAGAAAAAGCTAGACTACCCGTGAATGTTTCGGTTTCGTGCATGCTTTTTTTTTGGGGGGGGGGGCAAGATGCTCCAGGTCCTCGGTGCTGGGGCCCCCTGGCGGCGCCTCCAGCGCCTCCCCTGGCGCAGGGGGGTCCAGCGCGGATTCGAGAAATCCGCGCTGACCTCCGAGATTTTATGTTCGTGTCGTTCTTCGCTTCCCTAAATGCCTCGGCGATGCGGCTCGATGTGGAGCCCGACTTTCAGAACGCCGACGTCGCCGACGCATGGCAAGCGCCGCTGATGCATCGGCGCTGCATCGGCGACGCAGCGCGGTCCTCCGAACCACTCTGCCCATGTCCCGTATGGGAGGCCCAGATCTCTGGCCCGTCGCGCCCCCTTGGGCGACCTAGCACAGTCGAGCCTGAGTGGACCGTGGGCAGACACCTTACCATGAGGGAAAAGGGCCCTGAGGGAAAAGGGTCCGGAACCCATGGCTTTCTGCCCAGCTGCTTTTTGACACCCCTAGGCCCAGGAAGGGCCCCGAGAGGCCGAACACTGCGAAGTCTCCCAAAACCTCATTCCCTCCTATGTTCCGGGGGTGGATAGGCCTCCAGTTGGCAGCACGCTCTCTGGCGAAGAGGACCAGGGACTAGATCCAGCGGGCGCATGCCCAGAGGTGCGGGGCCGCACCACCCTTCCTCGAGGAGCGAGGACAGGAAATTCACGGAGCCACCCGACAGGGTGGGGGGTCCACACCACACTGTGACGGACTTGTCGTGGCTGGCCGAGGCGCCCCGATCTCCACGTTGGTCGTTTCAGTCCCGGCGTGCTTCTTTTCTTTTTGGGTTGGTTGGCTTGCCCGGGCGCGCCTGCGGACTGCCTCTGCCGCGCGCTGCGGCGTAAAAGAGTACGCTTGCTTGCGCCCTCTGGGGCTCTCTTCATCGGGCCCCACGGCAATCAAAAAGGGAGCCCCAGGGAAATCAAACAGGGGTCCGAAAAGAACGCCTGGCCCTGGGGAAGAGGCCCTGACGAACAGATGCCTTACAAACATGTACTTTTGACGGTCCGCACGGACTTCTTGGATCTGCGTTTGACTTGGGCGCGAATTAATGGGCGGCGATAGATAGGGGGGGGAGAAAGGTGCCATTTTCGGGCCCTAAGGGCCCACTCTTGGGCCCTGAAGAGCCCCTCTGGCGGCCCAAAGGGTTCCTTTTCGGCAGCCCTCGCTGCCCCCCCAGTCTACCCCACCCCCACTACGCGTCCTCCGATCGATCCTCCCGACGACGCCTCCGGCGCCGCCCCTGGCGCGCTCCGTGCGCCTCCGGGTCCCGCGCACATCCAAGAGATCCGCGCGGACCGTCAAACGATTGTGCTTGTGCAGAGGTTCCCTCTTTCCCGTTCCCAGGGTCGAGACAGCTGAGCTGCGCATCGGACGAACTTGGATAGGTGGACGTCTGGGAGAGCGGTTCCAGCCAGGGCTGGCCTTGGGCATCTCGCCGTGCTTGCGAGGCACCTGGCACGCCAACGCTTCGGCTCCTCCTCTCGATCCTTGCCCTTCTCGTCTTCCACTGGCTCCTCTGCCTCCAACGTCGTCCCGCTCAAACAACGCCTCCTCATCGTTACCTGTCACCCGTTCCAACTCTCCCGCCCTCATCTCCCTCATTCCTCTCCCCCCCCCTCTCTCGTCCAATCCCGTCCGCCTCCTTCTCCTCACAATCCCCCCGTTCCTTCTTGTTCTTCTTCTTCTTCTATTCCTCATTTGATTTCTTATCCTCCTCCTCCTTTTCCTCCTCCTCCGCCTCATGTATGTACCCCCCTTTCTTCTTGCACGGCACATCCCTCATCTTCGCATTGCTGCAGCACCACCTGCGTGCCCACCTCCTGCTGCTCCACTGGCGCATCACCCTCACTGACGCCGTGTACCTTTGCTGTATCCGCCTGCTTCTCACCATCCCGTTCTCCCGCCCTTTGTCCATGAATTGCCTCCTGCGTACGCCTTCTCCACCTCGCCGTCATGATACATCCCAATACACGTCCTCGTTCTAGTCATCCTCCTAGCGTTAAGTCGGGCCTGTCCCCCTACATGGGGATTTTCGACGAAAAATTTGGGGTATTGTTTATTTTTCGTCGAAAACCCCTTGTAGGGGGACACGCCAGACTTAAACCTGGCGTCCTCGCCATCCGCGAGCCTCGTCCCCACCACCACCCGCACCACCAGCATCGCTGGTCATCGATATCGGCCCTGGCTGCCGCAGCGGCTGCCCTCTCCTCTCATCCTCGGTGGTACACGTCTTCGCTCTCGGCCTCGTCCCCGCTCTTGTGATTATCCCATCCTTATTCTTAAGTCGGGCCTGTCCCTCTACAGGGGGATTTTCGACGAAGAATGAAAAATACCCCAAAAATATTCCAACATGGTCAAAAAATGCTCAAAACATAGTCCCCAGACTATTGTTGAACTATGTTTGGACTATGTTTGGGGTATTTTTATTGTTGTCGAAAATCCCCCTGTAGGGGGACAGGCCCGACTTCACCTTATTCAGCTGGCGGCACACGAATGGGCGACGCGGCGAGAAATCCAAAAAGACCCGAGGCGGCAGGACAGAAGGCGACGGCCATCTCAGGCCCACCCATGGGGAGCTCCTTCCGAAGCAGCGGCCACAACAAGGATTCGTCCCATCTGTCAACTGCGCCAAAGGCCCCCTCCACTCCTTCGTCTCCTCCTGCTTATCAAAGTCGGTACCAAACCTGTTGAGGGGTATGTTCTGGACCAAATTCCGAGGACGTGACAGGAAGCCCCAAAGTGCCAACGCAGGTCCAACACCTATCATCGATCATCCTGCTCTCTCCTCCTCTTCCCCCTTCCTCACCCATCTGCAACATGCGCTGCCTATGAGGGTTGAGTGCAATATTTCTCATTGATTCCACTCTATGCATAATATCCTCTCCCCCTCTCTGGCGGGACGGTGCAGAAGGCGCTGCCAGGGACTCACTCCGGCGCCGATCCCAAAACTCCGTGCGGACCTCCGAGAGTTTCTGTTCACGCAGATTTCTCTTCGTTCGAAGGCCCGGGTCAGCGCCCCTCACTGGCGGCGCCCACAATAGGATGGCGCGAGAGGGATGCCATACCAGACTTGTGTTGAAGAGTGGCAGAACGCCCTTCAGCAACACGCCCTTCAGGGAAAGCTGCCAGGGAAACTCCACGTGCACACGGCACCTCATTGCGAGTCGACCCAAGCGGGGCAGCTACTCGACGTCCACAACGATCGAATGTATCCGGCGGAACGCGTGTCGAGTGAACCAGCGCAGCTTTCCTGGGTCGACGTGTCTAGGTGGGCGTTCTCTCGAACCTGACCCTGCAGGAGGGCTGTGGGCTGTGTGTACATATATGTATATATATGTATACACATACATACATACATACATACATACATACATACATACATACATACATACATACATACATACATACATACATACATACATACATACATACATACATATCGGAGCTTGGGGGGTAAGATCGCAGTGAAACGGAGACCCCCCACCAGGAAATCGGTTTCGGCTTCGTGTTCGTGTCGTGCGTGCGGGCGAGGCGAAGCTGCGCGTGCTCCTCCTGTAGCTAGGCCGAAATAGGAGCGAAAACCCGTTGCCCGTCCGCCGGTGGCTGGTTGGGCCGGGCGGTGTCCCGGGTGTCCCAGGTGTCAGTAGGAGCGAAAGTCCATTTCCCGTCCGCCGGTGGCCGGGAAATGTCCCAATTGGGCCGGGCGGTGTTCCGGGTGTCCGGTGGTGGCCCGTGGTTTCCCGTGGTTTCCCGTTGAGTGAGATCGATAATGAGATCGATAGTGACATCGACAAGTGCCCCGAGGTGTCCCGTGGTGGCCCGTGGTGTCACGTTGAGTGAGACCGATAGTGAGATCGATAATGAGATCGATGTGGTGCCCCGAGGTGTCCCGTGGTGGCCCGTGGTGTCACGTTGAGTGAGACCGATAGTGAGATCGAGAGGTGTCCCGCGGTGTCCTGTGGTGCCCCGCCTTGTGAGATCGATAGTGAGATCGATAGTGAGACCGATAGTGAGATCGATGTGGTGTCCTGAGGTGTCCCGTGGTGTCCTACAGTGTCCCGCTGAGTGAGATCGATAGTGAGATCGATAGTGAGACCGATAGTGAGATCGAGAGGTGTCCCGCGTTGTCCCGTGGTGTCCCGTGGTGGCCCGTGGTGTCCCGTGGCGTCCCGTTGAGTGAGATCAATAGTGAGATCGAAAGTGAGTTCGACAAATGTCCCGAGGTGTCACGTGGTGTCCCGTGGTGGCCCGTGGTGTCCCGTGGTGTCCCGTTGAGTGAGATCGATCGTGAGATCGATACTGAGATCGATGTGGTGCCCCGAGGTGTCCCGTGGTGGCCCGTGGTGTCACGTTGAGTGGGATCGATAGTGAGATCGATAGTGAGATCGACAGGTGCCCCGTAGTGTCCCGTGGTGTCCCGTGGTGTCCCGTTGAGTGAGATCGATAATGGGATCTATCCTGAGATCGATGTCGTGCCCCGAGGTTTCTCGTGGTGTCCCGTCGTGTCCCGCTGAGTGAGATCGATAATGAGATCGATAGTGAGATCGACAGGTGTCCCGAGGTGTCCCGTGGTGTCCCGTTGAGTCAGATCGGTAGTGAGATCGATCGTGAGATCGATTGTGAGATCGATGTGGCTTCCCGAGGTGTCCCGTGGTGTCCTATAGTGTCCCGCTGAGTGAGATCGATAGTGAGATCGATAGTGAGACACATAATGAGATCGAGTGGTGTCCCGCGGTGTCCCGTGGTGTCCCGTGGTGGCCCGTGGTGTCCCGTGGTGTCCCGTTGAGTGAGATCGATAGTGAGATCGATAGTGAGATCGACAAGTGTCTCGTGATGTCCCGTTGAGTGAGATCGATGGTGAGATCGATTGAGTCAGATGTTGGTCCCCCCCCTCTCCCCCCCCACAACCTCCTTATCACCCGAAGGGTGGTCGTATAGGTGTGTGTGTGTATATATGTGTGTGTATGTGCGAAAACATGTACATACCAGTCGAGGTCTGAAGACACCCACCAGGCGGGTCGGAAGGTCCGCAGGGCCATGCTGCTATGTTGCAGCACTCTGGAAGGTGAGGACGCGCCCGACTCGGCTGCACGCAAGCGTGACCCACGAGGCAAACGTCGACGCTTGGTGCGCGGCATCGGGGGGCCGCCGCGCAGGCCCGTGCTGGGGGGGGGCCATGTGGGCCCGCACCAAAACAACATTCCTGCCTGCGAAAGGTCAATCTCGTGAGCCCAGCCGACCGATTGTTTCGCATGAGGGAAGCGGGTCCGGAGGGAATCAGGCCCTGGTCCCTGGGGCCTTTCCGAGGGCAAATTCTTCATTCTGGGTCGTTTTCTGACGGCCCGGGGGCACGTGGAGGGAGGGACCCGAGAGCCCGAAAACGCGAAAAAAACCTCATGGCCAGTTTCCCTCAGGACCCGTCTTCCCCATGGCGGGCCTAGCTGACCGACTGTAGGCGCCGCCAACCCCCAGACCCCCGACGTCGCGTTTTTTTCGCAACGTCGACCCCCAGAGGTCTGGATTCCTTCCCTTGGACCGGGTTCTCGTCCTGAGTCGTTTTTGACGGCCCCGAGGCCTGGGGAAGGGCTCACGGAAGCGGAAAACCGCGAGAAACCTCTCATCGTGTTTTTTTCACAGCGCGAGGGGGTCTGGGTTTCATCCCCCGACCCTTCTTCTCCTGCTCCTCCTCCTCCTCCTCCTTCTCCTCCTCCTCCTCCTCCTTCTCCTCCCCCTCCTCCTCATCCTCATCGCCCCCTCATTAATTCGAACCCAATGTCTCTTGACGCAAGGAGCCGCAAGAATGTGGGGATCTGGGCCCAAATCGGGGATCCGGGGCAGCCAGCAGCCGGGGCAGCCGGCCTGCCCCTCCAGGATGGCGTGGCAGTCCACGTCGAGCTGCTGGCGGCCGCTGGCCGCCGCGGTGGCGCCCTGCCCGGGGGCGTCGCGGGCTCGAGGGCCCGCCGCCGCGGCCGCCCGCTGCGCGCTGCGGCTCCTCCTCCTCCTCCTCCTCCTCCTCCTCCTCCTCCTCCTCCTCCTCCTCCTCCTCCTCCTCCTCCTCCTCCCCTCCCCATCCTCCCTCCCCCTCCTCCTCCTCCTCCTCCTCCTCCACCTCCTCCTCCTCCCTTTCTCCTCCGCCGCCTCCTCCTCCTCCTCCTCCTCGTCCTCGTCTCTCTGACGTTGCGCAGACATGGATCGGAGATCATTGCGTTATTCCTCCTCCTGCTCCTCCTCCTCCTCCTCCTCTCCTCTGCCCTCCGCGTCTTGCCCTCCCCCCTCCTCCTCCTCCTCCTCCTCCTCCTCCTCCTCCTCCTCCTCCTCCTTGTCCTCCTCTTTCTCCTCCGCCGCCTCCTCCTCCTCCTCGTCCTCGTCCTCTGTGACGTTGCGCAGACATGGATCGGAGATCGTTGCGTTATTCCTCCTCCTGCTCCTCCTCCTCCTCCTCCTCCTGCCCTCCGCGTCTTGCCCTCCGCCTCCTCCTCCTCCTCCTCCTCCTCCTCCTCCTCCTCCTCCTTTTGTCTCTCGCAGTTGCCTCTGCGGTCCCTGCTTAGCCGCTTTTGGCACTTGGGAGGCAGCGGCCGAATTTCTGAGGTGCCGCACCGGGGGGCTCCCCAACCACCTACCACGTCATTGCCACCTACACCAGAGGTCGGTGGGCGTAAGGACCAATGCGAAAGGCTTCGTTTCTGGCCCTCGTTGTGGGCTTAAGTGGACATTCGTCACGGGACTTGTCATTTTCTCAGCTGCCGAACTGGGGGGCTCCCCACCAGCTGCCACGTCCTTGCCACCAGTACCAGAGATCGGTGGGCGTGAGGACCAATGCGAAGGGCTTCGTTTCCGGCGCTCGTTGTGGGCTTGAGAGGACCTTCGTCACGGGAGACAAGTGTTTCAACTGTCGCCACCCTCTCGGAGGGTCCGCTTGCCCTTGGCGCGAAGCGGAAGGAATCAGGGCGGAAGGAGCCTCCACGCCTGAGGATCGAGACCACCTATAGGCAACCGCCGCGGGAAGTCGGGATAATCTTGTGCGGAGTGGGAAGCCTGGGTGCTTGAGCTCAGGGAGGAGGCAGAAGCGAAGGACAGGGGCATAGACTGGAGTACGTATGGCAAGGTCACTTGGCTTCCGCAGATGCCCTCAGTTGCAACAGGAATTGGACAAATCAGATGATGAACCTGGCGAGCTTCTTTCGGCACTTCAGGCCCACATCGGCCCCACCCCCGCCCAGGAGCCCCCGCGCACGACCCTTGCGGAGGAGCCGACCCACAGGGCTTCGGTCACTCGCCATCGCTCGGACGTCCATTCCCTGTGTTTTCTTCGGTTTCGTGCGTGGTTTTTTCGCCAAGTGATCAAGGATGCTCCTCGATGGTCCTCGCCGAAGGAAAAATGCACACGTCCGAGCGATGCCAGGGTCAGTGAGCGCCGGGCCAACCAAGTCTTTGGCCAAGCCAATGAGGAATACCAGGCGCCGAACGATGGCTCGAGGAGGCACAGGCAGCGCTCGCCCGAGCGGCGGAGGAGCTCTCAGCTGCGGAGCAGGGGCAGCGGGAGGCCGTGCTGCCGCCGGGCCAGCGCGTCTCGCACGGCTCCGCTGCCCAGTCCGCCAGCCTCACCGCGGGCACCGCGGCCCGCCTCGATCTTGAGGAGGTGCTCGAGGCTGCTTGACGGCTGGCCTCATCACTTTTGTCGATGGCGATCTGTTCACTATCCCTGAGGGCCCGAGCAAGAAGCAGTGGAAGGAGTTCAAGGATGCGTTTGCGGCCCAGCTCCAGCAGTCCCTCACGGATGCGCTGGGACCCGCTGCCACGCACATGGCGGAGCTCGAGGCCCAGTGCGAGCAGCTGGCACAAAGGCTTGGGAAGAAGCGCCAGACCGTGGACGTGGTGGGCCGATTTTCCACCACCACCACCATGGATAGGAGAGGGAGGAGGAGGAGGAGGAGGAGGAGGAGGAGGAGGAGGAGGAGGAGGAGGAGGAAGGAGGAGGAGGAGGAGGAGGAGGAGGAGGAGGAGGAGGAGGAGGAGGAGGAGATAGAGGAGGAATGATGATGATGATGATGATGGATGATGATGATGATGATGAGGAGGAGAGGAGGAGGAGGAGGAGGAGGAGGAGGAGGAGGAGAAGGAGGAGGAGGAGGAGGAGGGAGGAGGAGGAGGAGGAGGAGGAGGAAGAGGAGGAGGAGGAGGAGGAGATCTCCCACGTCCTCCCCGTGGTAGTGGTGCTGGAAAATCGGCCCATCAGGACGAGAACGGTGTGGAGGGCGCTGCAGCTGGCGGTCAGTGTTCTGGTCCTGCGGCAGGCGCACTGCTGCGCCCTGCCGCCCAAGACGCTTCCAGCAGCGGCGGGCTTGCTGCCGCCACTGGCGGGAGCTCAGGGCCCTCGCGTGGAGGGCAACGGATTCAGTAACTGAGCATCGGCTTCAGTAAGTGAACACTGGTTTCGAACACTGGCTTCAATCACTGCGAACACTTGTTCCAATCACTACGAGCACTGGCTTCCATAACCACGAACTCTGGTTTCAATAACCACGAACACTGGCTTCACGAAGGCAGGCGCCGCCCACAGGCCCCGAAGCAGCTTCGGCAGGTCTCGAGCCAGCAGGGGAGCGGGGCAGGCAATTGCGGTGGGCGAGCCATTCAGTCTCTGATGGCGCAACATCACGGCGGCTCGGGCTCGATGAAGGAACTGCGAGACGGCGCGCAGGGTGCGGACATGCGCTGAGACGCACGTTAGCGACCCCGGTGCTGCTCTCAACGAGGCAGACAAGCTTTCTCCGCCGGCGGCGAGGCAGAAGCAGTCCGCTCCAGCGTGAGACTACTCGGGGCAACCGACATGCGAGTTGCCCGGTGTGCAAGAGGCAGGACAGAAGACGAGGGCGGGCGAAGCAGACAAACAGGGTTGGAGGGCGGTGGAATGCCCACCACGGCCACGGAAGCACGCACGGCGATCGGGAGGGGTCTCGAGCGCGGCCCGCGGGCACCTCCAGTGTCTTCTTTGTTCGGTTCCGAGACTTGGGCTCGGGGCCCGAGCAGCAGGATGGCACTGCCGGGTGTGAAAGATCGCTGGTGGGCCGAGTTCCCACCACCGCTGCCATAGGCAGGACGGGGGAGAAGGGAGGAGGGGGAGGTCATCCCCCTCCTCCACCTGCTTCTCCTCCCTCTCCTACCTATGGTAGTGATGGTGGGAAATCTGCCCATCAATCGCTGCGGGGTTGGATCCACGTTGATTTCTGGGGCTTCTCGGCAGTGGCCCCCGAGCCCACTGGAGGCCTGGACATCATCTTCGTCGCCCTCTACCCTGCCCCGGGACAGTGCCTAGGTGGCGCCAGCGCCGAGCAGCATGCCTCCCTCGGCGCGCTGCTTCGGATGACTCAGGTGCCACGGATTACCGCAGCAGACTGGAATCTATCGCCGCAAGTGTCGGCGGATTCCCAATGGCCTGGCCTCTGCGCGGGCAGTGTTGTGAAGCCGTCTAACGCGTCATGGACAAGCAACCGGGCGCCTTTCAACGTGTTGGACGACGGACTCGTCTCTGACTCGTTGGCGCCTGATTTAAACTCTTGCACTGCTGATTGAACAGAAGGGGGCACGTGGGGATCTGTCTCTCACTTGCGTTGGACACAAAGGCCTTGGATATCAGGACTCGTGAGCGTTCTTTTTTATTCGGCGTTTCGACATTGGGAGGAAGGGGGGGTCTGGCTCCGAACGCCTGCTTAGTGCGACTGTTTGCAGAGGGACTCCACATGCTCGAACCAGGCGCCAAAACACAGCCAAGATCTACTCCATGGGTGGGGGGATGCGAGGGCCCGCGCCGATCGGCAAAATAATGAATAAAAAACGATCACCTCCCCGACTCCCCCACTCCCTCGTCATTTTCTTCACCCTCTTTGGCTAAAGACATGACCAGGCCCGAATAAATATGGCAAGCGCTCGCGGAGGCAAGCCGAACGCTCCCAGAAGCCTCCGAAGAAAACTCACGAAACCCATCCTGGAGGGTTTTTGTTCGGAAAGTTTCGGGAGGGTTTCGGCTGTTTCGAAAGGAAAACAACCTCTAGCGAACCCTATAAGCTGAACACTTGTAAAGGGCCACTACGCCGGAGTAGCCCTGATTGCGCCCGGAACCTAGCCCGATCAAGCCGGATGACGCG